AAAATAAGAAGCAACTATTTTAACTATTCCCCTCCCCCCCGTACTTTCCAGTAAATACATTACAAACTTTTGTGCCTCTCATTAGAATGTTTCTTTGTAAAGCATATTTTCAGTAATATATTTTAAATCTCTACCAGAAACCAGTCCATCTTCTTTATTATAGAAATAAGTGTTTGGATGTAAAATTTCATAAAAATCTTAATGTGATTAAAAATAGCTAAAAATGTAAAAATTCAGTAAACCCAAGTTATCACATTCTGTTCAAAATCTAAGGAAGATTACATGTTAGATTTATGTGAGTGAATAATATCTGCTACATTGTTAGATTACCCAAACTATAACATGAGAAACAGTTGGTACTGAAAATGGTTAAACTTAAAATTTTTAATCTGCAACAAATATACTTTTTATATCAAAATAATCTAAAGGTCATACTTAAAAAGATTTTAAATCTCTTTTCAAGTCAATTTCAAAATATGCCAATCAATTTACATTTTATATATGCTTTATATAATCAGTTATAAATGGTAATTCATTTAATAAATACTGGAAATCTACTTTTTTTTAAAGATAAACTAAGAAATAATTAACTAGAATTATTAATTACATAACATCAGAACAAAACATACTTTATCTGAATAACGTAATTATTTTTTAGACACATAGTTTAAAACTCTCTTAGATAAGTGTATCTTGGGCTTTTTCTTTCAACGTCATCTGGATAAGCAGATTAAGGTTTTTCTGAATCAACAAGCCTTTTGCCATCAGCAAGGGCTCTCCTAGTGGGCAGCTTCTCTTCCACGCCTGATAACTCAGAAGTGCAGATTACTGTAGGTCGTTCTAAGCATCTTGTAAGATCTTTTTGCAGAATGCTTATATCATGCTCAGTTCTACTGCTAGCCTATTCTCGTTTGACATCATTGTGTGAGCTGATAAGCGCAAACAGGTACATGATGTGGCAGACACCTGTGGATTGAGTTGGGTCTCCCAAACATATTAAAGAATAAAATTATGCTGTTTTCAGCAGTGCCAGGTTGATGTTTTGACATCAATTTTTAAATCCCCCTTTTTTTTCTAGAAAAAGGTTCTTGAGCCACTCTCACTGGGAATATAATGCAGTAATTGTTGATGTCCCAGTGATATTCAAAAGGAATAGACATTCCTTACTTTTTATTCTCAAAATATGCTATGGCATTGAGCTATATATATGAAGAAAGAATGTTGGACGTACCTACATAGCAAGATACTAATTTTTTATTGTTTTTGCTAACTTCATATAGCTGTTCTACTCCCTTCTATTCTTAGTTTCTCCCTCCTGTTTCCATCCATATAAATATGAATGAATTATTTGATTTGTTGCCTACAGAATCTTTTTTTTGGACCCATCATGTATAAAATTGGTGATGTTCAAGAAGAAATAACTTTCTTTGTAAAAGGACTTCCTCTTTTGAGACAGTGTACTCTCCCATTTTTTTTAAGTGTATCAAAATTAAAATTTTTCTGGTTTACTTTGCAAGTAATATTTCACAATATGTAATTGACCATCTTACAGCTGTAATTTGAAAAATCAATTTTCCTTAGAAATGTAGTCCTCATGAGGGCAGGAATTACCCATGATTGTGTCAAAGAAACTGAGTGTTAACTTTTTCAGAGGCTCTTTGCATTTCTTTACTAAATATTTTATTTTTGAATTTTTGAATTGTGTTTCAAAATGGCAAATCAGTATAAACCAGTCCAGTTTTCAATAATAGAACATTCCTTCCTCAGTATCTCAATAAACTTAGCTAACATACTTTACTTTTAAAGAATGGCTTTATAAAACATTACTCTGTATGCAATTGGGACTAAGAATATACAAGAAGAGAAGAAAGTTATTCCTGGATTATGTAATACTGAATTCAGTTTCCATTCAATTCAAGTTTTCAGAATTAAAATTGCAGTGTGTTTATAGTGAAGAATTCAATTAGTACAAACTCACCTGCAGTTTGAATTAATATAGTCAAGGAACAAGGACAGCACTGGTTATTTACTAAGTTCAAAGGACCAACTGGTATTTTGTAATACAAGTTTCCTTTAGTCAAACCCACTTTTGTAAATTACATCTATTTTCCTTGTGATTGTTTTGTTTAATCTTATTTTAACAGAGCATAATTTAACAATTTGCTTTTAATGAAAAATTGAAACATAAATTCTCAATGCGCTGTTAGATTTTACTTTAGAAAACACTACCAAAATATTATATGTTATAATGAATAAGAATATTGGGTGCAGAAGGAAACTTGTTTGCAAGTAGTTTATGGCCCATTGGCACTTGTATCTTTCACCATTTGCACAGCAACATCTTAGTGTATTTGTTTAGTATTTGAAGGAAGTCATATTTATAAAATGCAAATATGTAAGTATAAAAATATGACATCTATATTTGAGATTGTGTGCACCCTTTAATAGGGATTCTTTATCATTTTTATGAAAAAAATGGTAAAAAATATGAGATGTATTTTTCCCAGTTCTTTGCATTTCTTCCTTGGTGTTTTCATATAGTTCACATATTTCCTCCTGTGTTCAATTCCAGTTAATATTCCAGTGAATTGGGCTCATCTCTACGCTAATATGGATTGCACATCTCTTTTTCTTCCCCTTTTCCTCTTCCCTTCTTTTTATTTTTTGGATGGGACAGAAGTTGTGGGAAGTTTTACAAAAATTTAAAGCATGCTTAAGCATTTTATCAGTTCAAAGTTGAAGTTATCTTGGACCATTTCTTTATTATATCATGTTTGAATTAAGGATATTAATACTGTCTTCTGCTATTTTAGATAGTGTTATAGCAAGTGTGAGTGTTGTGATTTGCTTTGGCCCTGTTCACAAAATTACTTTCGTAAAATTAAATTCTTTTGTATCTAGAGTGTGTGTACCCGCCAATACACACATGCATATTTATACATGCATATGAATATATATGATTTCATTTTTAAAAAAATAGCCCTATATAAAACCAAAAATATTAGTTCCTTGGCAGTTTACTTGTAGTGCATGACTGACGTCCTTCTCAATAATCACATGATGCTTCTCTTGCTTAAATCATTGATTTCCATAATCTTTTTCTCCATTTTCTCCTTATTTACCAAACACTTGTGACAAATATTTTACTATTTTAACCATAGAGTTAAAATGCACTTAAATCTCCTCTGTTGTTTCAATGTCTGCTTCAGAGAGAAAACTCCATTTTGCAAAAACATGATTAAAATAAATGCCTTATACAAAACCTCATTCTGTCTTCTGGTTAATGACTGAAATATTGTATATCTGAATTTATTGATACACCTTTATATACCTAAATTATTTATACTCTTAAGAGAATGTAACATGGTGTGAATTTATTAAACTTTGGTACCAAGCACTTATTTCCATTTCAATGAGATCAGGCTACCTAACCCAATAGTCCTCACTTTATGCACTCCAGAAATCTTAACCAGAAAATCATCTGCTAGTTGATTTTTATCAGAGGTACCAGGAATGCAGTCTCCAACTTCTTAGCATGACAATATAATTTATTAGATTTATAGGAAGACCCAATTCAAATCAGCTCTGGGCAATGTACAATATTAAAAATGAGTGAAAATGATCAAAAATGGCTTGGTATACCTCCACAACTACATGAATACCTTGAAGACCCCACCCATAAAATTAATTGAAATCCTGGGAGAAAAACCAAGTTTTGAGAGATTTTGAGGGTGGCATCACTACCAGAGAAAGCATAGATCCCGGGTCCCATTGGGTGACATCAACAGGACCCGGGCATGCTAATTCCATCAGATCAGATGGAAAATATTAACACTGGGAGATAATCCTTCAAGTATCTAATAGCCAGGCCTAATGCTGTGAGGGGTTTTAAAAGTAATAACCAGCTCCTTGAATTATACTTGAAAGCCTTTTGTTAACCAGTGATTCTCCCAAATCAAAGATCTTAGCTGGATATATTGAAGCATACCAGTAACTGCCCAAGTTGCTGTGTTCTGGATTAGCTGCAGCTTCTGAGATATTCAGTTCTGTACAAAAGCATATTACAATAATCCATATGTGAAATGACAAAAGCACTTGTAGTCAAAAAGGTACAATTAGAATACAAGGTGGATCTATGTAAATGCCTTTTTTGTCCGGAGCTATCACCTATTTTTCAAGCAGAAGTTGCAGGTCCAAAAGATCCTCAAATTGCTTGTTAGCCTTAAGTGAGGTAATACAACCCTACCTAGATGGATGTGTTTGTAATTGTATTTTGGATGTTATGAGATGGCCCAGAAGCTTTTGGAAGGGGCAACTCTTAAGAAAGCTAAATCCTCATCACTAATTCTAGGAGGCCCAGATATCCATAGCCATTTAGTATTACTCCCCATCCAGACCCTTATGGCCTCCAGGCATTGGGACAGTTGATTGACAGTGCTATCAAAATGACCCATCCCACTGATGAATACTGTGGTCTTATACTTCTACACTTGGCTGGCACAGTTGATCTGCAGATGGCAAAAATAGTTTATTAAAAAGGGTTACATTTTAGGAATAGACATAGAGCTTGATTTCTGTCTTTGTGTGTCTTCCTCTCAATTCAGTGGATGCTAAAAGAAACATTTCACTTTCTATAGCAGAGGTGGATACAAATAATTTGAAGAGGCTATTTGAAAAGTTATTGAAGCCTGCATATAAGCCAATGGCTGCAAATTGTCTATCCTGCTTTAGAAAGTACAACTCTCCTTGTTACCTTCTTAACATAGTGAATTGAACCCAGCCACACAGCATGCATATACAGGCCAAGTTCATTCAGTGCACTGAGCTATTTTTTTACCTTACAAAATGATTAGATTTATTCAAAAAACCAGGGGAATTGTGTGTGAATTCATATCTATGTACAGAATCCAGAATCGGCACTTTAATCACTGCACTGTCTTGAGTCTTTGCAAAAATTATCTAAAAGTACATTAGATTGCAGCTGAAATAGGCAAAGAAGGGAGACCAAGATTGTGTCTTTTATTTTCTCCTTAGTTTTTACGTAGAATATATTGCAGTCAAGAGTGCTATCTTTAAATCAGAACATTAACAAATTATTGCAAGTAATTTTATCCAGGAAATCTAATGGGATAAATAATTCTAGAAAGCTGATAATGAAGGGAAGAGAGGAGGGGAAAAGAAATAACAGGAAACTATAAATCATTTTTTCTTTTTGCAACAGAGAATATGTATGTTAAATCATACTGCTTATTATGCAATAATCCAAACATTATAAAATAAAATGAATAGTAAATCAAGCAGAAAGCAAATAAGCAAATTATGACAAAAAACAAGAAAGCATCACAACTAGAAAAAAAGAGAAATGGCTGTTTTTTGTTGTAATACAGGCTTTTGCAAAAAAAATCACCTCCATTATTACTTTATTGTCTTAAAATAAAATGCATTGTTTAAAATAGTGATTCAACATTTCTGATGTCTTGCTCCCATGTTATGTTGTCGAAGCATTAACCTCTTCTCAGGGCATGGAGCTTGCGGGCAACTTTCTCTAGTTCCGCTTCAATTGCAGCCAAGCTTTCCAGTTCTTGGTCCTAAGAGAGAGAGAAAAAAGTTTAATGATGCAAATCATTATAGCAAAATGATGTATTCACTTTACTGTTGATCTCCATCCATGTACTAACCAATGGATTCAACTACTTAACTTTTGAGAATTCAGCCAATGTTGGCTAGATGCATTTATAAAGCTGATTTCTATGAAGTTAGAGTAAGGGCCTATCTTCCTCCAACTTAGTCCAACTTCAGATGTTTTGGAATATAATTCTCCTAACTCTACAGTCAAATTCACATCCTATATCAATTAGCTTGTTACAAGTGCCAAGAGAGGGTTATATATGATACAGGTTACAATTTAAGGAAGATCGGTCTGTACTATCTGGCAATAGTTCCTCAAATTCCCAAGAAGACCTATCAGCCTAACCTAAAATAGTTAAGGACTGAAGCTCAACTTTCAGTGCCTACTATGATTCTTCTCTGGCTTCATTCCTAGGATGTTCTACTGTTCTGGATATTGGGAGAGCACAGCCTGCAGCACGAAGTGGTTACATGGAGCCAAGCACAAGAATATTTACAAGGTCCTGTCTGCTGAATTCAGTCCACAAGATAAAACTATATAAAAAAAAGCCGATTTTCCTGATGCCAAAAAGAATTCATGATTGTGAAATACAGTACTTCATGAATATTACAACTGATGGTTACTGTCTTTAGTAGACCCACTATTGTTCTTGCATGAATGCATGTCTAAATGGATGTGCCCCTGTCGTGTTTCATTTTCCTCCCATCCATACAGCCAAACAAGTATGAACCAATGAGACAAGAGTTTTTTCCCCTCTTCTTTTTTCACCTTGTACTCAGCTATGGCAAAGAGGTTTCTTTTCCTATTGGTACCTGAGCAACTGTTACCAAGGTTATCTTGTTGATTCCCTGTTGCATTGTTAAACCAATTCCAGAAAGGTGTAAACAAGCCAAAATAGAATAGAAAAAAAAGAAATAATCACCTAATTTTGTGATTCATTAAGTGGGATTATTTTGTTTTGGAGACAAAGCTCTGCAGCTACAGAGCACCAAAGGAGAACTAGAAAAGGGGTGGGGCAAGCCTTTATATGTTGTCTTGAGTAAAATTAACTCTATTGTGAGGTCAAATGAAATAAGTGCCGCAGGCTGTCACTTGTTTTCTTTCCACCTCTAAATAACAGCACTCTGGTGCTGATGATGATGGGTTTCTATTACTGACTAGAGCAAGTTGGACATCTTACCTAATAATTTTCAGCATTCTTCTGGCTTTTGACACTTTATTCAAAACATGGTTTCCACAAGAATGTGTCAACCTACCTCTGTCCTCCTGTTTGCACTTCCCTCTTCATCCTTTTTTTCTTCAGGTATGGGAAGAAGTGGAAAACCTTGTTCACTGTCCTCTTTTGAATGATGCTTCTGAAGCCTCCTTGCTTCATCTTCTGGAGACTTATGGAAGTCAACTGTGTTGTGGGATTTGAAAGCCATTTTCATGGATCTATCTGGGTCTTCATCACTTTCATTCTCCTCTGCACGCTTTGTAGTAGTCAGTTGTTTGGCCAGCTCATCCATCTTGTTCCATCTCTTAGCATCTTCTACATCTTGGAAAGAGGTTTTTTCCATCTCTTCACTTTTGGAATCGCTGTCATGGGAGGAGTCATCATCCTGCCTTGTTCCATCTAGAAAGCGATGCTCTCTACTTTTCACATTATGATATTTATCTTTTTCTTCTGAGAAATTTTTGCCATCATCTTGATTATCTATAAGAAAAATAGATGTAAGGAGAGAAGCCATTTTCCATAACTATAATTATTTTTTCTTAACCTGGATGAGGAATGAGATTTGATGCATTGAGTCCAGTTTACCATATTAACTACTTTTTCAGTAGGGCAGAAAATGATGTTGAATCCTAACCATATTCAGTGTAACTTGCTTTGTTATACATAGCTATTGTAAAATCAATTAGGATCTCAGAGTATGCACAGGGGGTTAATTCAGTTAGCCATCACAATGGAATAGCAAAGCACTTAGACTTATATACCACTTCATAGTGCCTTACAGCCCTCTCTAAATGGTTTACAGAATCAGCATATTCTCTCCAACGATATGGGTCCTCATTTTACCGACCTTGGAAGGATAGAGGCTGAGTTAACAATCGAACTGCTGGCAATTGGCAGAATTAGCCTGCAATACTGTATTATAACCACTGCGCCACCACAATACTTTCTCTGAGGATTGCATAGTTACCCTGTGGCAACTGTCCCCAATCATATGCATCTGAGAACACTGGACTACAACTCTCGATCAGTGTGGAAAATTGCTATAGCTCAGTGAGCCTTCTATCAGCTTTGAATTGTTTCATTTGTTTGCCCAGGATTGGAGATTTAACCACTGTAATTTAGACTTTAGTAAATTACAGAAATGAGTACAATATTATAATATCTATTTCATGTTTAGAAATATAGTTGATGCAAAATATTTTAATATATAGTTTTACTTCATACGTGATATGTTGTAACTACTGGCTGTTAACATTGTTGATATTAACTTTTAAATTCATAATGAGTTCAATTTAACACAAGAAACTATTTCCATTCCTTTGACACCTGCTCCTGTCATATACAATTAAGAGCTTACATATAAGAAACAAGATCTTCTCTGTTGTCACTCCAATATTTAAGAAAACTGTTTCCTGCAGGGCTCAAATATGCTTCTCAAATAAGAACATATGTCTTCTCCAATTTATTTCCTATAGCAATACTGGATTGCAATTCTTATAATTTCCCAGCTAACATATCCCTTTGCTGGAAATTGAAATCCTACAGAACTGGAGGCACTATATTATGAAAGGCTGAATTATTATTTGGAGAAGATTAGAGAATATCTTTTGTTGTTGTTGTTAATTGCGAAGTCGTGTCCGACCCATCGCGACCCCATGGACAACGTTCCTCCAGGTCTTCCTGTCCTCTACCATCTTCTGGAGTCCATTTAAGTTCACACCTACTGCTTCAGTGACTCCATCCAGCCATCTCATTCTCTGTCGTCCCCTTCTTCTATTGCCCTCAATCTTTCCCAGCATTAGGCCCTTCTCCAGTGAGTCCTTCCTTCTAATTAGGTGGCCAAATATCTTTGGTGACAGTCTTATTTGCTGAAATAAATGTATGTAGGGAGCATGGTTTTCTTTTGTTTTTTACAAAAATCACTAAAATTGATATCCCACATATTCATGCAATTAATCAAAATTCATTTATAGTCCAAATATAAGAAAAAAAGACTAACAATACAATATCTGTAAAAAGGAATAAAAATGTGAGATAAATACTGAAATAATGAATAGCTAATATTCAATAGCATGAGGGAGGTATCAGATGGTTTACAATAGCCAGGACTATAGATAAAAATTTTGCAATCTTCTTAGAGTTTTCTCAAGAGTGGTCAACCAGAAGAAGGGTAATGGCCTCCAGGTTGCAATGAAAATTAGAGTTGTGTACATGTATTAAGTTCAATCACCATTGACTGTACAGTAGACATTTTAATAGCATACGTGAGATAGATTCTAGCTCCAAGTTTGACCAAAAACAAGTTTGGTTTTTATATGGGAGACTTACATATTTATTTTTATGTATTTTATTTATCAAATTTATACACCATCCATTTCACCTAAGTGGCTCTAGGTGATTTGCAAATAAAAGCCATACAGCCAAATAAAAATATAGATAAAAACAAAGTTAAAAACAGTGTATAAATACTGTAAGTTAAAAACTTAAAAAGGCAGAGGAAGAACCCTGAAGCCACCAACCATTTAGGCTTATGTACTGTCCCATAGTGCTTTACAGCATTCTCTGGGTAGTTTATAATGTAAAAACATTATTTGCAAATTGTCCCCAACAATCTGAGTCCTCATTTCACTGACCTCAGAAAGATGGAAGGTTGAGTCAACCTTGAGCCTGTCAGGATCAAACTCCAGGCTGTGGGTACAGTTTGCCCGCAATATTGCATTCTAACCACTGCACCACCAGGGATCTATTATTAGATGTTGTCTTAATAGATAGTGCCTCAATTTGGGCCAAAGAAAACAGCTTATTATGAAGAATATATAAAATATACTTAGGAATAGTCCAGGGAGAAGGAGGAATTATGCTATAAAAGCGATGGGGAACAATGACTCTATCATTTTGGATAACTAAATCCATATCCTCTGCTTCAGTTAATCCCAAAGCTAGTAGCGCTGGCATGATAAGATTGCAAAATGCGAAGTAATCATTAATTTGTCATCAGCAGTGAGGAAAAGCTATCTAGCAAGGAAGTTCCCCAATAGACTTGCTTCAGCCAAAATCTAAAAGATGGCAAATATGGGTCCACTCCACATATTAGAAGTCAAGTTTGAGCCCAGACTGATAGACATACCATCTTCCCTTTGATCATCCACATTATCTGAATTGGTAGGATGTTCCTCTTCAGAAGCATTCCTCTCTTTCTCTTCTTGTTCTTCATCCTTTACTTCATCCTTTTCTTCTTTATCCTCTTCTTCCTTCTCAACCTGCTCTCTGACCTTACCATCTTCTTCCTCCTTCCTTTCTTCCTGACTCTCTTTGAAAACATGCTCATTCTCATCCTCAGATTCCTCTGTCTCTGCAACTTTTTCAACTTCCTGGTGTGTCAGCTTAAGTACATCATCTTGCCTGATGTCACTGATACGATTGTCTATTGCATCACTCCAAGGCAAGCCTTCCATTTCATCAACTTCATTGCCCTCAAACCCTGTTATATTCTCCTTTTCATCCTCAGGATCAACACCTCGAATCCTTGGCTCTTTCTCTTCCAAGCTATTTCTCTCCTCTTTCAAAACATTCTGTTTATTCTGAAAAGACTTTTCCGTTTCCAGCTCAGCCAAAGAGGCAGTTGGCTTCTCATTGTGGGTCCCCTCTGATGCATCTGAGAGTCAAAAATAGTAGAAATAAACAGAAGATGGATAGAAAGCCATATTAAAACAGAACCGCAAACTCAAAGTACATCAATTTCGCATGTTCTTTTGGACAACATTATATATTTCTTACCTGCTTTTATTTAACCCATTGAACAACATATTTTCCCCCATTTACTATTTTGAGATTATATTTCATGCTTTAAAGGTAGACCAGACTATTCTATTTCTAATTCTATTCCATTAATATATGAATTTGTTATCCTATCTATAAATTGGAGTAAATGAAGCTCGACATCACTGGGTTTTAGCCATAATTTAGAAAAGTATAAGGTCTGGATTAAGTTATATTCTTTGTTTATCTTGGTTAAGTATTCCCAGGAAGATTTTTCGATAGGTACCTTACAAATTATTCCCTGTTCCGATGCAAACAAAAGAATGTCTAGATAGAATGCTTTTTATAATATGGAATAAGAAAAATATAACTGAAATGAATTGTTAAAGTCTCACTTCTCCAAAACTTTCACTTTAAGTCTGCAAAAAGTATCCTGGGACTCTGGGTTTTTTGCCACCACACACTAACTTTGCTCTGCTCCTACAATTTCTTCAAAAAACGTGGTTAGTTTGCTACAAACCTAAAACTAGATTAATTCCTACTAACCCTAGAAATCTTCATGTGCATTGACACATCAGAGAATTTGTTGTTCAGTTGCTAAGTCATGCCCGTCTCTATGCAACCCCGTAGACTAGCACGCCCAACCCTTTATCCTCTGTTATCTCCAAGAGTTTGCCCAAATTCATGTTCATTGAGCTAATGATACTGTCTAACCAATCAGAGAATTACTGTTTGAAATATAACTGAGGAAGGTAGAATAGCTCAGATATTTGCACTTCTTTTTCCAACAGAACAGAATAACAGAAGTGGAAGACACCTTCTAGTCCAACCCCTGCTCAGGCAGGAGACCCTACACCATTTCAGACAAGTGGCTGTCCAGTCCCTTCTTAAAAACCCTCAGTGATGGAGCACCCACAGCTTCTGAAGGCAACCCATTTCATTGGTTAATTGTTCTCACTGTTAGGAAATTTCTCCTTAGTTCTAGGTTGCTTCTCTCCTTAATTAATTTCCATCCATTGCTTCTTGTCCTGCTTTCTGGTGCTTTGAAAAATAGGCTGAGCCTTTCTTTTTGTGGTAGCCCCTCAAATATTGGAACACTGCTATCATGTCACCCCTAGTCCTTCTTTTCACTAAACTAGACATGCCCAATTCCTGCAACAGTCCTTCATATGTTTTAGCCTCCTCCCCCCCCCCATCTTTGTTGCTCTTCTGTGCACTCTTTCTAGAAACTCAACATCTTTTTTATACTTTGTGACTAAAACTGGATCGAGTATTCCAAATGTGATCTTACTAAGGCATTATAAAGTGATACTAACACTTCACGTGATTGTGATTCTATCCTTCTGCTAATGCAGCCTAGGATTGCATTTGCTTTTTTGGTGTCTGCAGCACACTGCTGGCTATATTTTATCATATTTCCCTGTTTTTGTTGACATTAATAGTAATTTTAAAATGATTGCTCTACTCTATGTTAACGTTGCATATGTTCTTGATTATATCCTATAGTATTCTGGAGCTGGCTTATACCAGCTTGAAAAAGCCAATTAAATTTAAATTTCCCTTTTCCCTATTTCCTTTTTTTCCTCTTTTCCAAAGCAGGAGAAAGCAGAAGAAGAAGCAATGGATGGAAACTAATCAAGGAGAGAGGCAACCTATAATTAAGGAGTAACTTCCTAACAGTGAGAACACTTAACCAGTGGAACAGCTTGCCTTCAGAAGTCGTGGGTGCTTCATCACTTAAGGTTTTAAGAAGAGACTGGACAGCCACCTATCTGAAATGGTATATGGCAGTGATGGCGAACCTTTTAGAGACCGAGTGCCCAAACTGCAACCCAAAACCCACTTATGCATCATCGGGTGCCGAGTGGCTGTGGCCCATTGGCTGGGCGTGGCCCACTGTGTGGGTGTGGCTGTGGTGGCAACGGCAGACTGGATGGGACTAAAAAGTTCAATCAATCAATTCCAACTTTGCAAGATTTTTTTTTCCCGCAAGAAGTTGAAATTGACTGATTGAAACTTCCTTTTTTTTTGCACACGGCGGCGGAGGCCTAAAGCGAAAAGGTTTTATAAAACCCAGCTGAAGGCCTAGGACTGGGGTGATGGCGCACGTGCCCTCAGAGAGGGCTCTGAGTGCCGCCTCTGGCACCCATGCCATAGGTTCGCCACCACTGGTATATGGTCTCCTGCTTGAGCACGGGGTTGGACTAGAAGTCCTCCAAAGTCCCTTCCAGCTCTACTCTATTCTGATTTTGATTCTGATTCCTGGAATTCTGTGAACTGGTTGAGAGCAAAGCAGAGTCACCATGCCTAGTGCACTAATCAGCTCTTCTGCAACTAGTGGTATGGTGCAGTAGCAATAACAGGGCTAGCAGAGCTGATTATTAAACATGTACCAGCACACCAGTGGTTATATTCCTGCTATTTGGAATCTATGAAGTGTGGCTTTTGTTAATCTGTTGTTGTACAGTGCAATTCAGGAAGGAGAAATTTACACCTGGCTATTAACATGTGTGGGTTGTCAATATTTGAAGTAATTTTTGCTCAACAAAAAAGCAAAGAAGAAGCAATATGCTGTTTGTAGCTGTTGGTGATATAATTATCCTTATTAACTAAGATCAGCACTGCAGAAGGTTTTTAGATGTTATCAAAAAGTTTCCTTGCTGTGAACCAATGTGAAAGCAATAGGGAGATGACCCAGTCACAGTTGTTACAGAAACCAGTTTGGCTGTGAAGCAGGTGTGCGTCCCAAATGTGAAATAATATCCACATTTACAGTGCTTGGGAAGGATTATGTAGGGGTTATGCTGACATCAACCTCTTTCCGTGTTCCCATTGCCTTGGCTTTCAAGGACTTCAGAAAGCTCATCTTCAAACCCACTGTTTTTCTTCTGCTGCTCTGTTCTTTCGCTTGCTCCTGTTTCACAAATGGAAAATAACAATAGAAACATTTTTCACCACTTCTTTTGTTGTCATCATCATCATCAATATGTGTCCCCTCACCATTACAAATGTATACTACACTAAAAGTCAAATCTAAAGGTCCAATATCCAATATTTCAATATCTCAGGGGTTGCCACAAAGAAGAGAGAGTCAACCTATTCTCCTAAGTACCTGAAGGCAGGACAAGAAGCAACGGATGGAATCTAATCAAGGAGAGAAGCAACCTAGAACTAAGGAGAAATTTCCTGACAGTTAGAACAATTAACCAGTGGAACAACCTGCCTCCAGAAGCGGTAAATGCTCAAACACTGGAAGTTTTTAAGAAGGGACTGGACAGCCATTTTTCTGAAATGTTATAGGGTTTCCTGTCTGAGCAGGAGGTTGGACTAGAAGACCTGCAAGGTCCCTTCCAACTCTGTTATTCTGTAGTCTTAACAAATCCATGCTGTTAATGTCTGTTAATGACTACATTGTTTTCAAAGTGTTTACAATCTCCTTGTGATCTACCCTACAATCTTATCACGCATTGATGCCAACTTGATTGGTCTGTCATTATGCTACACTTTCTATTTCCCCCTTTTTGAAAATAGGGGAAATATTTTGTGGCATTCTCACATTATGTATAGACATAATCCTATCTGTATCACTTTGAAAAAATATTCCCGTAATAGTAGACAGTTCACACACACAAAAGGCACAGAATTCCAACAGAAATGTACCTTGAACTGCAATCTCTTGAAGCTCCCTTAGTAAGTTTTGATGGCGAAGAATGGAACGAATTCTTTCATCTGAAAAAAAAGGGCTTATTATTTTAGTAGTAACAAATTGAGCTGGCCTGCAATGATTTTGCTTATCATAGTTCCATTGGCAGACCTGTTACTTGAGTTCAACTTGTCTACACATTTTTTTAAAAAATGTAAAAGTGACTTTTGACATACATGTTCTTAAAATTTAATTACTCAATCTTGTTAACTTCTCAATACTGTAAGAGAGAATCGGAAAGAAAATGTACCTCCTTGGAGAGTTTCTAGGCATTCTTGGCTGATTGAGAGTGGTTTGGGCTTTGCTACTGTATTAGAAATAACCTCAGCAATGCATGCCATCACCTAGAAAAACACAAATATATTTGTATGGATTTTATATTTAAATTTTCCTTCAGGGTGATGAAATCCCCCCTCCTTGCAACAATCTTGTGAAGTAATATAGACTGGGGGTCACCTGGCTATGGTTAGCCACAAAGCTTCAAAACTAGAAAGGTTTTCAACCTGGTCTTCCTTTCTGCCATGCTGCATGCTCATCCATCATTAGCTTAATGATTTCAATTAAATGCAGTGCAAACTTCTCTGAACCATTTTTGCTATTTTTTTTTGTAGTTGGAATTACTATCTTTGGCATTAAAAGCAATGTTTTGTTTCCTTTTACATTATGCTGTTCTTTTTCATTTTGCTTTCTTACCTGCTTCCTACATTCTTCCCATATTCTTAAGTTCTTACTAAATTTGAATTGAGCAGGCATTTAATAAAGGATATCAACAGAAAGGTATGATAGAGAACTGTTTAGAGAGAACTAACCTTTATAAAGCACAACTATGATTTTTAATATGACAAATATATTATTGGTGTGATCTATGTCAGGTCACAATATAAACAAGTCTGGGTAAACAGCCAGCAAATGATAACAGTGGGATTAGAAATTATATAAATGCACACACACAGTCGTAAAATGATATTCATTTTTAAAATCTCTTTTATTATGGTTTTAAGGCTTCATTTTAAATATACTGAACAAAAAGAACTATGAAATTTAAATCTATGTTGTGGGACTGTTTTAGTAGAAACTTCCACCTGGTTTTCAATTGGGGAAAGGTATTATTCTTGATTTTCATGTACCATACCTTTGCATATCAAGAACAATTGGATCTGTTGCTTGAATTAATGGGTTTTCCTATGTACAATATCTCCATCTTGTCTGGAATGATTCAATTCATTTGCTTTTATCCATCAAAAGCTCTTTCTAAAACTGCTAGCCCTTCGAATTTGTTCAAATCAGGAAATAGATTTCAGAAGAAAATTTGAACTAAGTTCTATATTAGAATCTTGCAAGTCTAACTGCTTTTCCCCTTCCTTTTTCTTATACCCGAGTGAGTCGGGGAGGAGCCATCCTGAGCTTCTTCATAATAATGTCTCATTTTAGAAAGGCATGCTTGGATATTATTGGTTGATATCCTTGAAAATTACTAATCCCATATCTGAAATTTTTGTTCTGGCAAGTTTCACATTAATATTTTTAAGGTGTTCTAATGTCATTTGACCATATAATTTAATTGCTAACCATGTGTTAAAGCTTCATCAAAGAACTGCACATGATAACAGAGTGCACAAATATGTGTAGGAGAGAAAATATGAAGGTTTTGATTGCCTTTTAAAGATTGCATCAAGTTAAAGGAATAAAGGAATATCTGAAGAAAGAGGTGCTTAAACAATTGATTATTCAAATGAATTGTCTTTCCATTATTATGGAATTTCCATTACTGAGTGCATGTGGAATACACTATAGTAGAACTGACCTAAAACAGTAAAACAGCAAGCACCAAGAAAAGCTAATTCATAATACATAAGCAAAAAAAAATAAAAATCTACTTTTAGAAATTACCCCCCCCCATTCCATCAAGTAAACATGAATGTCAGGATTTCAAAAGCCTTCGTTTCAAGTAAATACTGTGCAGTCATAAAAAAAGAACAAAAGGAATCAAAACCTATCGAGTGGGGAATTTTTCTGTAGCAAACCACAAAATAAGAATTATTGCCCTAAATTTGTCTTGTAGTTTCAACACCAACAAAAAGAAACGAGAATCTTTCAAAGTATTCCACAACAATCAATGTTATGTAAAAACAAAATGCCAAATTCTGGGGGACTAGCTTTGAACTTTTTCCTACTTACAGAAATGATCCATTTGTGTGTTTTGCTGAGTTTCTTAATTGGTTTGAAGGCAAGGTAAGGCTAATAGAACTTTATTTTAGAACTATTGAGTAAATAATTCCTTATTCTATCATCTAGCTAGCTAGCTAGTTCTGTCTTCATCTATCTATAATATATATCAGTATTCCTCAGAAGCTTCCATGAGGATCACTTTTCATTTTATTCCTGCGTGACAACTATGGGAAGTTGGTTGAGCTGAAAGAAAAATGAAATAAAGTCATACTGTGTGTTTCCAAAGCAGAGGATGCAGCTGAACTTGGCTCTCCCCAATTCTATCCCAACACCTCAACTTCTACCCCACTGAGCAGGCGTGTCCAGCCCATGATCTGTAGGCTGCGTATAGCCCTGGGCAGTTAGTAATGCAGTCCCACAAGATATAATAAAATATATTTTAAAAGGAAGTTTATATATTTTATATGTGGCCCAAGATAATTCTTCTTTACTCAGTGTAGCCCAGGCAAGCCACAAGATTGGACATCCATGCCATAGAAGCTTCATTTGTTGAGCTGCAGTTTGGTGAATTACCTGAGAACTTAGTGAGGATGGTGTTGGTAATTTTTTGCTATGGAAGGGGAGTGAATTTATAATCATATATTTGACCTTCTTACATTGTTAGTCATGCTAGATGAGTAACAGTTGCTGGAAGGGCTGCCTACAGAAGTCAACCTTGGATTAGAATTTGGTTACGTGTCTCAGCAAGTGACAGCATATGGCTGACCTTCTCTGGATTTAGAACCTAAGCTTGGATGGGCCCTGTTTAATACTTGGAAATGTGATCACCAAGGACTTCCAGGCAGAGAAAGCAAAACATCCTAGGTGGCAAATAATTTCTTTGTGTGCGTGGATGTGGCCAAACATTCACAGAAGATCACTTGCTGATCTTCAAGTGCTTTTAAAGGAGAAATGGTGTTATTGGAAAACAACTTGTAGCATGTTAAATGAGCAGAGTGTTTTGCAATGGTACTGTCCTATATCTGTTTATTCCTGTGAAATACAGTAGGACTTTCACCAAGTGGCAATATATTGGATTGCATGATTTCTGATTCCCAATACTTTCATGTAATAGTCTATTACATTCTCATTTCCATATAATTCATTTGATTTCTTGGATTATACTGTATTTACTTGTTTTGGACATTATAGAAAAATATCCAATAGATTGTATAAGTATTAATTTTATATAAAATCGTGGAATCATAGGGCCGGAAAGGACCTTGGAAGTCTTTTAGTCCAACCCCTTGCCCAAGGCAGGAGACATTATACCATTCTGTACAAATGGTTGTCCAATCTTTTCTTGAAAATTTCTAGCAATGGAGCAACCACAATTCCAGCTGTTCCATTAATTGTTCTCACTATCACAAAAAAAAATTCCTTACTTCCAGGTTTGATCTCTATTTTAATAGGTTTTCTGGCTTGTGTGATATTTTCCTCTCTGCTGTAGATTTGTATCCAAAATGTATATAGCTGTAAAAAATAATCCATTTTTCTACAAGCAACAAGAGTTTTCTTTTTCTGTGTATACCTTAGGCTATTCTCTTTCTCTCTCAATCTTTTGTTTTTTCAGATCATTTCCGTTTGACTAAACTTATAGAAGATTTTGTAACTAGCAATAGTCTATTTCTAGTGCTTTCCTTTTATGAGGCTAAGGGTTTCGTATATATTTGGCAGACAATTCAGCAGAAACCTGCTTAAACCCATTCACATCTAGTCTGCATACAGTATATTTGACATATGTCATATCATATCATGAACTTTTATGCAAACATTATTCAAGTGTCAAATTCCTTTATCTTTAGCAATAGTATGTTATCCTGTATTTTTTCTAGGATGCTGCTTATAAGCGCTATGTGCTTAGAGCTCAAAGCATTGTTAGAGACCCTACAGACCTACTTTATGGTCTGTTTCTGTTGCTCCCCTCTGCGAGGAGGTTTTGAAGTATTTCTAGCAGGACTACCTGATTCTATAATAGCTTTGTTCATGCCATCTGTCTGGTAAACTCGCAAGATTCATTTTTCTAGCCACATGTATACATAATCCGAACTAGACTGTGTTGTTTCTCTGTGTCATATAATATATGTGGGTATATGCATAATTCTGTATTTATTTTTGTCATATTTATGTAGTGTATTTGCAGGTGGTGACCTTTTGAGAGCTGTATGCAACAAAATTTCATTTTAATTATGCCAATTAGTGTACATTCAAAGTGACAATAAAGTTATTATTCTATTCTACTCTACTCTACTCTATTCTATTCCTGATTTCTATAGCACAACATGTTTTTTTATAGTGCAACACTTGAATTCAAGCCATTGACAATGGTTATGCTGCAGATGGTATTATTAAAAAATGCAGCACAGATTCAATTACATATTGAAGCATATACTATATATAGAGAGAGGGGGGATTTATGGGCATTTTAGGAAACTCATAAATGACATAACAAATTATTATGCAATTTGCATAATACAATGCCATGGAAAGTGCTGATCTACTCCTTATGATGGAAAATGTGACATTTTGGGCTTCCAAATAAGACAGTAATCATAGATGTTTGAAATCTTCAACAGGCCTCCACAACTGCTGGTTGAACATGTTGACTTCTAAACCAAACTGCTTCTCGGGCTCAAGGTTGGCAGAAACTGGGTAGTGCAGGTTTTTAACAGTACTGGAAATAATAGTATTTTTGTAGAGATTAAGGATAATTAATTTGCTAAAAAAACTGCAAAATGTTTTCCATTTTTTTCATCAAAGGAAAACTGAGAAATCCTTTGTTATTAATTTCATTTTAAAAATAGAGGAAATAACTACATTTTCAGTTTATGAAAATTAGGAGAGGGCAGCAATTTTGAAAATCCAGTACATTAAACAAAATTCTGACAAAACTCTGATTTGTTTATGGGACACACACATACACATACCCCAAGGAGACATCAGACTCAGCATTGGATGCTTTGTGAGCCTCTACAAGTCCCAGGATTTTTAGCCAACTTTAGTCATATCTGGAAGATGTTAGCCTGGGAACAGCTTTCCCAATACAATATGCATAGAGCCAGTCATACGCTTATCAACTTGCCCTGCGTTTATTCAATAAAAATCAGTTAATGCTCAGATCAAGCATTGGCAACCTGCAGTTAGAGATGTATGGATTCATTTCATGAGTAGATTTACTTGTTCATATGCAGTCTGATATGCAAATGTGAAATATCCCATGTATTGATATCTCAATCTCATAAATGATAGGGGTATACTGTTCATCGGATTTGCCACACAGTGGAAAAAAATATTCCAGATTTTAATTGTATATATGTTATACAGTATATATTTGCAACTGTAGCTGATTTCACACATTGTGTTAAGATATAAAACATGGCTTACATAATACAGGGTCTGCGTTCATGCATCATGCTAAACTATACCACACCATCACATTATAGTTACATGCAGTCTCTGAACCCAACCCACCCAGAAAGTTCAAAAGCATGAAATGGGACATACCCATGTAAATATGCCAAAACAAAATACAAAAAGTTTCACTCAGTTGGCACCATGTAGTTCAATTCACACAAGCCAGAAATATGTGTATTACATATGATACACAGCTTTCTCAATCAAATATACCTTGATATGTGCCCCAGAAAACTGCATGAAGAAATATTATGCAGTTTTCTGGGGCACATATCAGGGTATATTTGATTGAGAAAAGAGGCAACTCTTTTTCCTTTTATTCAAACATATAATTGATCCAAATAATTCTTCAAATCCCGATTCAGTAATTATGCCTCATCACCACTCTGCATATATTGTGTATGCTTTTAGTTATCAGTTTACTGTTCCTTTGTGCCACATGAATAATATAAACATGTATATTTTTTCCTTTGGTTCTTCCTTTTGATTTATATTGCCTTCTCTGTATCTAGTGTCCTAGGCTTAATGATTATTTTAAATATGCTGTCAGGAACTCCTGAATTTTTTAAAAGCAACAGGTGAACTCTAGCTTACAATAAACTTACACAGGATATATATGAAAAGCTAATCCATTAAACTTTTGTATTTTAAAGAAAAGCATCTGTAACGGTTCCTGAAACTTAAAAGAATTTTCCCATTGTATTATTTGGCCATGCATAACAGGATCAAAAAAATATAATAATTTATCTGTAGTCTCATTTCAGACAGTCCATAGCACAAATCTGATTTTATAACTATATATTTGCATACATTCCTTATTTCTTCATGGATGTACTTGCAATTATATATAGAGTTCAAAGTATTTGTTGCAGCTACTCTTCATAGATAGATCTACAAAAGCTTACATGTACACTTGAAAATTTAATGTGTGAAAAGACTCAGTAATTCCATTATTTCAAGAAGTTTTTAAAATGATAGATTGTACATTTATAGATTTGTGTGTGTATATATATATATATATATATATATATATATATATATATATAACAATATTCCTGCTTTTAATGTTTTTTTTTCAACTTACCTTAGTGTCATCTTCAGTTGTTGGATTTGTTACTGGAAGTGAAATTACTAAGAAAGAGAGAAGAGAAAGAATGACTTTAATATTTCACATTCTCTTTGGCAGTTTCAATCAGAATGTGTAACAGATTTGGGGTGTGAAGAAAACCAGTATAGAGGTACACAGGAGACCATAAACCAGACCAATAGTATGTAAAACCAGCATCAGAAATGTGCTCACCTTTTGGGTTTAAAAATAGTTGCTACTAAAAAAAAGATTGGACGAACTGAGCTGGTGATTTTATGGAGGAATCACTCTGAAATCAACTGAGGAATTTGACTAGCCAATGGAACCATTGTTGATAAGTAAACTACATGGAATCCAAAGAGGCAAATATAGGAGTAACTGAGAAAAATGGGCATTTCATAAGGCTGAAGATTAGAATTGCAATTTCTTTTGGTTGGTAAAATAAAACTCTTTGCCAAGCAGTGCTTTGCCGTTTTGGAACGATAAAAAGTTTGAGTAAATGGGACCTTGACATTCAGTGAAGATCACTGGCAATAGTCTAACGAAGTCGTTCCATTTCCTACCCCTGAACTTCATCATCTTCTTTGCAGATCAGGCCTTCTGGTGCGAATAGGCGCTGAACGGCATTGCATGCTGGTGCATCGGCTAGTCAGGGCAATAGCCTCGGCGGCTCTGTCCTTGGTGCTGAAAAGGGCAGCGCCCCGCGCAACTTCTCCCACCTGCTTTTCGAACTTACCTGGGGCTACCAAGAGGAAGGCTGCGAAAAACGCCGCGCGAGTCATTCCGCTGGCCATACGGACTGCAGGGTGAAGGGTGGGGCCGTCCGGCTGCGCTTCTTGGCTTTGTCGGCGGGGCAAAAAGATGGGAGTGGGGCCTGGCTTCTGAGAAGCGATCGGCGCTGACCTTGACCGAGCGTTGAGCCGCGAAATAAATTATCCGCTGTCCTTCTTGCCCTTCCCAAGATCCTCTGCCTTCTCGAAAGCGGTTGCCGACAATCCCCGACCGAGGACTGCAGCAGCAACCTGGCTTATATATTCGCCCCCCTCTCCTCCGGAAACGGCGTCAGGAGGAAGCTCACTCCCCCTCCCAGGAAGGCGCCGTCCAATCGCTCCTCTGCGGGGGATTGCAGAGCCAGAATGAGGTTAAACGGTCCCGTCGCCTGATCACCTAAGCAAAGGACAAGGCGGGCTCGCCAGCTTATAGCATCTGGAAGAAAGAGGCAGTGAACGCTGTAAAAGGCGCGCAGGTGTTTCTTCCCATGTGGGTCATCTCTGGTGCTGGATAAGATCGGAGATGAAAGCTCAGCCCATCACACATGGAAACCCGTAAGGGAAGGCAGGATGTCTTCTGACTCATCTTTAGGATTCTGCGCTTGATGCTTTTTAGGATGACATTTTGGTGTAGTGAACGGCTGATCCACTCACCAAGGGGTAGGGGAGCTGTGAAAGAGGCACCTTATCATCTAAATATATGGGAGCTTTTAAGATCATTAGAAACTCAGTTGGGCCAGTCATTTATAGAAATCACTTCAGATGTAATTACTAATCCAATTGGCATTTCATCTTGACTCATTTAGGAAGCAATCCTCTGAAACTGATTTGGGCTCTTATTTTTTGTAAAATTGCTTCTTCTGAACTCCATAAAGTTCCTTGCCGAATTGCATTCAATTGACGTGTCATTATTGCCCAGGTTTAATTTAGTTTATCATTACTTAGAGTGCAATAATATTTGTCACTTAGCAAAGTAGACCCTAACCTTTAATTCTGCATAATTCTGCCATTAGAGCCATGAAATAGTGTAAAGAAGTCCTTTTTAGTTCAGATCTATGACTGACAAATCTCTCAACTTCACTAACTGATTCCAAATTCTCATAGATGTTGCAAGAAGATCTGTGCTGGATTGAATGAGATTGGCACTGGTTTCCCCAATCAGTAAAATATTGTACCTGATGAATATAAAACCTGGGAGCCTTGGTTTTGTTAAATCAGCCAACTGAACAATCTTTAACAATAGTTAAATAAACCAATGATTCTTCCAACTGATCATGCTGATTGACTACTATTATCCTTCTGTTTGCTTTATTAAGCAGGAGCCCATTTTAACTAACCTGAATAGTGATCTTTTGTTCAAACAATCACGGCTTGGATATCTTGTTCCCACATATACAGTATTTAATGTGCTTATCTTTGCACAGTACTATTGGAAACTCAGGTGTGTGAAATCTGACGTTGTTGCAACAGCTGTCATGCTATATTGTTCTTGATCTGCAAGCAAACAAAACCTGGGTTTTTAATTAAAATGAGTGTTCCTTAAAACTCAATCGAGGGCTAGTAAATTAAGCTAGCTTACCGTACTTATTTAAAATGTGAATATGATTTTAAAAAATCGAAGAATATATATGGTTAACATAAATATTCCTGTATCAGAAAATTGTCCTTTGTCCATATTTCAGGCGATATTAAAAATATTTTAACATTGCCTGAAATATGAGTAGAAATTGCTGTTTATAGAAAGGACAATAACTCAGAGGGGTACATATGTTTTGTATGTACAAATTTGGTCTTATTACATATCCAAAAGTCGGTTTTTAATTAAGTTTCATAAAATATGCACACGTACGAATGTTCAGAAAAAGAAATTTCACAGTTCAATTATGCGCAAAAACTACTTCCTAGGATTCCATATTTTTTATCTTCATATCCTCTTACCTAAAAGTCATGAGAATGAGATCATGTTAATTAGTTGAGGAGTCTGTAAGTGGATGAAAATCAGGCTACAATACCTCTCATCAAATGTTATATTTCTCCAACTAATAATGAAAGAAAATTTCAGTTCTTATAAATCTACCAAAGTTGATATCAAGCATTCTAGAGGTTTGAACATATTAGCACTGGTCATAATAAAATTATTTACAAACTTTAGTGTTTACTTAATTAATAATTGTTATGGGCATTGGGAGGCTTTTAAAGAAAAATGTAGCTAAACCGTATTATTAGACAAGTGAAATGTTACATCTTTACCCTATTAAATCTGAAGCACCACTTTAATATGCCCAATACTTCTGGCCCAAACTGAGGTTGACTTTGATTTTTGTTCTTGTATCAAGCACTATTAAATGCTAGAAAAACTGTTAGAGTTAGGGTTGGAAACTAACAAGCCATGCCTGGTTACAACCTGCCACACTAACAAGTATTAATTTATTTTGCAAATACCAGCCTCGTGTTTGCGCTACGTCTTGCTTAGCTTGTTGAGCAGACACATTCATATATGTGCCTACGGCTTTCTTTGCATGAGTCAGAACTCTGAAAAAGCAGTCCATTATAGGCCATTTATAAGCAGCAGTGACTGAATGATATGCTATCAAGCTGATATTAGCTCTTAGCAACTACACAGATTTTCTCTAGGATGATCTGTCCCCAATCTGGTCCTTCAGGTCTTCCAATAGTGCCATATCACCATAATGTAATCTGTTATGAAAAAGTGATTCTGTTTGATTACTCTATGTCAGCTCTCACAAATGTATCAGGGCTGCATAACTTGGAATTCCATTTCTCAGTGTCTCTTGGAGTGGGGTGGCCATAGCACATCATCATCATCACCATGGTCAACTCCTGGAATTGTAACTCTGGGGAAGACATGGGCTGTAACAGCTGTAGATGTTTTAAATCATATTTAAACTACTTATTGCTATCGTATAAACTTGGTAGGTTTTTTTCCCCACATATTGATGCTCTGAATCTTGCTCACCACCTACAAAAGCATCTGTAATAATAATAGAACTAGAGGTCTGTGAAGCTAACCATGTGATCTGTATCTCCATTGAAAAACTGTCCTTTTCATATGCAGTACTGTAAAATAAGTTTGTCAAACCATAAGTTGAGTCCACCTCATTGATCTTTTGGCAATGAGTGCTAAAATGTGCACCTTGTATTCTTGAAGAAAATGGCCTAAGAAAAAACGTGCAGGCAGATTGGAATGAGCAACTAAGTACAGCAGTCCCCATAAATCTTACCATTTGAAATTGTGCCCAAAATAGAGCAATGCTGTTAAATGAGGGTGAGCAGTAACCTTGCTTGTCCTTGTAAGAGGGGCCCTCAGTTCATTTTAATTACAGTAAGTGCTGATGTAATGGTTAAGAAAGATACTGAAGGTATATGATATCCATGCTCAGAAGAAATAGCATTCAGCAGTCAATCTAATGAGACTGTTATCTATTATCCAGCCAAAGATGAGGAAGAATATTTATATCTCTTGGTTAAAATAAACAAATAAAAAAAGAACCATGAGAGGTTTTGTGTCCTTTGAGGCATGATAAAATCAACATTAAAAATGCCAGATGCTCCACAATTTAATTTATCAAAGTAGTTTAGAGGATATGTTTGGATGAATGAAGGTGTGTCTGTTTGATAGGAAAAGGTTTCGAAGATTCTGTGATGAAGTTTGCACGCCACTCTCAACCCTGATTGCACAATGTGAGCAAATGTTTATTCTTAGCCATAGCTTAGGGACATGATTTATTCTTTGGCCAAAATGAAGCCCAGTTTGCTTTGGCCAAATAGAACAGAATACAGAATATATTCCATGGAGAATATAGAAGAAAACAACATCCCCACCAACACTGACAGGGCAAGCTACTGTATGTAAACAGGGAGCAAACCCCACTCCCTTCTAGACTGAAGCTATTACTTAACCTGGTAACAAAATACCTGCAAACAAACCACCAAGCTCAGAGAGCACCAAGGACTCCATAAAGCCCACTTAGCCACTTACTACAATCATGAGCAGAGAGAATGGTGAATAGAAAGTTTTTAGAGTGTCCTGCCAGATTTTATTGTCCTTTAACTCCTAATCTCCATATACATATTGGCTATTTATTTATAAAACTTATTGGCCACCCATCTTACCACAGGATAACCCTTACAATTATAATTGCAGATGGAATCCACCAATATCTGGAGTGTCATAACTTTTCCTATCTCAGTTTTAGAGGCAAAAGTATTAACATTGCTTCATGTTTCCATCTCTCATTGCCACAGGAGAAGAGATATTCCATTATTTTTCTCCAATCCACTTGTTCCAACCTTACCTATACTATAGATATCTGGATTTGGGGGAAAAAGGAGAAAGAGTGGTTAATACATAAACAAGAGACAAATTTTGCCAAGGAAGAACTGAAAGATCATGCAGATAAAGAGGCATCTGCCAAGGGTATGTGGATAAAACAGTCAACATGGTGGCAATCTTGCTTCTTTTTTACATTGGAATGGGAAAACTCCCTGCAGCCAACTTACCGTGGCCAACAGGAACTTGCCTACTGTTCCCCAAAAGTGAATCAGAGCCCTGAGACTTTCTAGCTCACCATTTCTGTTTTCTACAAAAGTCCACACATTCCTTTGTTCAGGGTTCCTCTTTCTAATGAAGCTGGGACCCAACTATCTTTGAATAAATTGTATATGCCACACTCACTGGAGTGGAGTGGGAAGTCAGAGATCTTTGCAGTCACAGAGGCTTGTACTCAATGTATTTTATCCAGTTGGATATAGGAAAGCCAATTCCAGATAAATCTTATTAGCATAAATTTTCCCCAGGCTTGTTTGCAGTAGCAATGCTAGCCTGATCTTGTTGATAAAAAATCCTGCATAATTATCCAAATTCATAAATAAAGCATTAAAAGAAATTCTGAAAATCAGTCTTAATCTTATTAGGGCATGAATATGCTATGTAAAGTATTTATATAACGACGACAACAACAACAACAACAACAACAATAATAATAATCCACTTTTCAGTTAGAATTCCCAAGGCACCTAATAATGCAAAAATATGAAATAATTCATGTACATTTGGCAAAACCAAATAAAAGTATTCATGCAAGGTGAAGTCATCCATAGAGAAAGGAAAATTTAGCAGCACTTTGCTTGACATAGAAAAATTCATTTGAAGCACAGAACAAGGCAATTTGGCAGCATTGAAGACTATGTTTAGGAGTTAAGAATGAAGAAATGAAATCGTAGTATTAGACAGGACAGGGATGTAACTTGCTAATCAAGCATCTAACTCTCCTTATGTGTATAATCCTAACTGTATACCTGATGAAGATTAAGTGAAAGTACAAGGATTGGAAAATTCAGAA